CTCCACCTTCAAGTCATTTCTGACCTATGGTGACCATAAGAAAAGCTACCACAGGGTTTAACAAAAACATTTGTTCAAAGTGGATTTGTCTTTGCTTTCCTTTGAAGCAGAAAAAAGGTGTCTTGTCTAACATCACCCATGGCTGAGCAGAAATTTGAACCCTGGTCTCTGGAATCATAGTTCAGTGCTTAAACCATTACACCATGCTAACTCTTCAAGAATTTTAAGTACAGTTCCTTAAACTGTAAATCACTTGATACCATAGGGAGATGTTATGGCAGTTAAAGTGAAATCATAGAATTAGAGCTACGTGGTATGAAAGGCTTCCATGATTCTAATTATACACTGAGTCACCTTGGGTCCTATTCAGGAGAAAGGCAAGTCAATAAAGAAATGAAGGCTCCCCTGCTGGGAGAGCCTCTGCAACAAGATCAAACTTCATCAGTAAAGTTTACCAACCTCCTGCTCTGTTTTCTGTTTTCTGCTTCTTCTTTTCAGTGGGATAAGACCTGAAAATTAGCCTCACCACTTGTCTTTGTGTGTGTGTGTGTGTGCACTGCAGATCAGAGGTGCCAAACTTGTGGTCCCTCCAGATGTTTATGCCTCCAACTCCCAGAAGCCTTAGCCAGCTTGCCCAATAACTAGGAATTCTGGAAGCTGAAGTCCAAAATACCTGGAGGGCCACAGGTCTGACACCACTGCTGTGGACTGAATGCAGTTTAACACCACTTTAACTGCCATGGTTCAATGCTATGAATTTGTGGGAGTTATGGTTTGATGAGGCACCAGCATTCTTTGGCAGAGAAGGCTAAAGACCTCATAAAACTAAAACTCCCATGAATTTATAGCATTGAGCCATGGCAGTTAAAGTGGTGTTAAACTGCATTCAGTCCACAGCAGTGGTGTCAGACCTGTGGCCCTCCAGTTGTGTCAAATTGCATTATTCTCCAATTATTCTACAATGTAGATGCACCATTAGTGACTCTTACTGTGCAACCAGAAAGTAGACTCCACACACACACACACACACACACACACACACACACACACACAAAACTGCAAGCCAATGTACATAATTTCACTCTAAATTCTTTGCCAGGAAGAAAATTTTAGGAAATGGATGGCTAATTCACAACACGTCCAGGTATTGCTATTTAAAATAATTTACTTTTTAAAATCAGGTACTTGTAAACATTGACATCATGACTGGTGAGTAGAACTTTCCTCATGGTATCACAATTCACTCATGGAGCCCCCGGTGGCGCAGTGGGTTAAACCCCTGTGCCGGCAGGACTGAAGACCAACAGGTTGCAGGTTCAAATCTGGTGAGAGGCGGATGAGCTCCCTCTATCAGCTCCAGCTCCTCATGCGGTGACATGAGAGAAGCCTCCCACAAGGATGATAAAAACATCAAATCATCCGGGCGTCCCCTGGGCAACGTCCTTGCAGACGGCCAATTCTCTCACACCAGAAGCGACTTGCAGTTTCTCAAGTTGCTCCTGACACAACAAAAGAAAATTTACTCATTAAAATTATAAAAATTATTTTAATAGTAGCATTCATTGGTTTGGCTTGATTTCTAATATTCAGTTCCTTAACCCAGGTTTGTCGGTGTTCTTTTAATGAAACACTTCTCTATGTTCCTTTCAGAAAAAAGTATGTTTGACAACACTAACCTTTCTCTATGCTCTTCAAATGTGGCAGGAGCAAGGAGGTCATATATAAGAATAGGAAATTGGAAGGAGCTGATAAAATGAGTCCCGAAAAGAAAACTTCTGGGAAGTTGGGTATCATCAAGCCAGAGGTTTACAAGCAGAGCCACATTTTTACTCACTTAGTTGGCTGCCAGAATAAGAAAATAAAGCTAGAAACAAAAAAAAAAGGTCCCATTTCAAACTGCTTAGAATCCTGTGTTGTCAAGGCTTTTATGGCCGGAATCACAGGGTTGCTGTGAGTTTTCTGGGATGTATGGCCATGTTCCAGAAACATTCCCTTCTGATATTGCACCCAATCTATGACAGGCATCCGCAGAAGTTGTGAGGTCTGTTGGGAAGTAGGCAAGTGGGGTTATATATCTATGGAAAGTCCAGGGTGGGAGAAAGAACTCTTGTCTGTCTGAGGATAAGAGAGATCCTCTCACCTCTGCAATAGTCTACTGTATACCATGCAGCTGTGGACAAGTTTACATAGGGAGGACTAAATGAATATTGCCCAAACACGAATCAAGGAACATGAAAGGCACTCCAGAGTAATTCAACCAGAGAAGGCAGCCATAGCAGAGCACTTGATGAACCAACCTGGACACAGCATATTATTTGAGAACACAGAAATGCTAGACCACTCTAACAACTACCATGTCAGACTACACAGAGAAGCCATTAAAATCCACAAGTATATGGACAATTTTAACAGAAAAGAGGAAACCATGAAAATGAATAAAATCTGGCTACCAGTATTAAAAAAAAACCTTAATTCAGGACAATAAATAAAGAGCAACACTCAGAAAGCAGGGAAATTTCAGACAAGAAACAATCAGGGCCAGCTAATCACCACCCAACAAAGGATTCCTCAGGCAGGAAGCAGTAAAGCTTTGAAACTGCAATGGTATTCGATGCTAATCAAGGTGATCAATTGCAACATCCACACTTGCCTCAAACAGACAAGAGTTCTTTCTCCCACCCTGGACATTCCAGAGATATAAACTCCACTTGCCTAGTTTCCAACAAACCTCACCTCTGAGGATGCCTGCCATAGATGTGGGTGAAGCATCAGGAGAAAATGCTTCTGGAACATGGCCATACAGCCCAGAAAACTCACAGCAATCCAGTGCTTAGAAATCTTTAGAAGTTTAGAGGGACAACACTATAGCAACATTGTGTGTGTGTGTGTGTGTGTGTGTGTATGTGTGTGTGTCTTTAAGTCACATGTCCCTGTCAACCTATGACCACCAATGACTCTCGTAGGGCTTTCTTAGGCAAGGAAAAATTGGAAGTAATTTTTTGCCAATTCCTTCCTCTGAAATACCGCCTACAGTACCTGGTATTCATTGGTGGTCTCCCACTAAAATACATACCAGAGCTGACCCTGTTTAGCTTCCATCATCAGATGGGATCTCGAGCCTTTAGTGCAGTGTTTCTAAAATTCTGTTCCTGCAGGTGTTTTGGATTTTAGCTTCCAGAAATCCCAGCCAGCTTTCCAGCTGATAGGTATTGTGGGAGCTGAAGTCCAAAACATCTCGAGGAGCGGAGTTCCTGTCATGACAACATGATTGATGTGACTTCCATGGGTTCTGCTTTTATTTATTTTAATTTTTAGGAGTGTGTGATGTGTTTATTATTATGATTATGATTATTATTTGCAGAGGTCCAGCCCAGACGCAGAGAGAGAGAGAGAGAGAGAGAGAGAGAGAGAGTGAACATACAGGGGCGGATCCTGCTCTCATGAACCACTTTAGAACCACTTTAGATCAGTGGTTCTTAACCTGTGGGTCCCCAAGTGTTTTGGCCTCAACTCCCAGAATTTCCTACCCTTTTACCAGCTGCTAGGATTCCTGGGAGCTGAAGGCCAAAACATCTGAGGACACACAGGCTGAGAACCACTGTTTTAGAGGAAACAACACCCATGGACCCTCTGAGTTCGATATTCAAAGCTTTTGAAGCCAGCTTTATTTGATTTGTTTTGTATATACCTACCGTTTTGTGGTAGGCTTCAACATTAGCTGCGAGGCACACTTTAGAGACTTTCTCCCCTCTTTTCCACCACACCATTCTGCTCCTATGCCTTTTGCAAGCCTTTAAAATGGATGAACACTATCTTTTCTTTCTTTCTTTCATTTGTGTGCAAGATACAACTGAAAGTGGTCATTTATTTTCATAGGTGCCAGGTCTGAGCTCCATGCTTTTGTGTGCTTAGATTATAAAGCACCATCTCCCCCCTCACCAAAACAAATACCACCAATCTCCTCCTCCTCCTTTCTGATAACACTTTTTAAAAGACATGGGCCTCTGGAGTCTTATTTATCAAACGCTCATACCCTTTGAGTTGACAACTTCTTCCAGATACATGTGTTTATTTCAGGTTTTCTTTCAGATTAGTTCCCTTGTATCCAAGAGTTCTATTGCTTTCTCTTTTAATTTCAGTGAGTGGGGGATGCTGGATTTACTCAGTTGGACAGGTTTAGATGGCTCTAGGAAGTTAAAGGGCACATTAATTCTCCAAGAGAATTAATTCTCAAGGAGAGCATTTTCATCTTGTTCTCAGGCCATTTTAGTTAGAAAAGAAGCCTTTAGTAACAACAGGAGGTGGGCTACAATTATTTCCTGATCACTTTCTATTTTTTAAAAAAAGGCTTCTTCCAGGCTAAATGTGGCCCAGGAGGATTCAAAACATTGTGAAAATGCCACTGTGCGACTGAGAAAAACTCCAAACATTTTTTCTCCAACTATTTGGAGAAAATATGGTTGATTGGGGGGGGGGGGGGAGCAAAAAGGCCAAAGAAATACTCTATACCAGGGTATCAAACTCATTTTCACCAAGGATCACAACAGCTTTATGATTGTTCTCAAAGTGCTGGGTGTAATTGTCAGACTATATGAATGTAATTATGTTGCCCTGGCACTGAAAGCCTCATGAGCCATTTAAGATTATGTGGTGGACTGGATTCAGCCTGTGGACCTTGCGTTTGACAGTGACACATGCCCTAAAGGCTGCATGGCATCTGCAAGTCATAGTCAGATTGAGATACAAATCACTTGTATCTTGATCCAATAAATGCAGCATGCCTATCAGCAGAATGCTTGCATTCTCCATGTACATCAAAATACAGACAAACCAAGAAAGTTAACTGTAGCCAACTAGTTCATGATGGATGTTATCTCAAAATATAAAGCCCTGTTGCCCTGTTCTTCCCATGCCATCTCTTCTCCCTCTCTTCTGCCTCAATAATAATTAAAATCAGGCAAGAAATGGTAGCTCTCCAATTTGGCTGATCATTTACCCACCTGAAAAAGCTCTTGCATTTTCCTGAAATCATGAATAGTCAGTCTGTTTTCAAGTTGTTCCAAACTTCTTGCAGTCCCAGAGTCTTTGGTCCTGTTTGGAGGCTGCTCTGCAATCTTGTCCATTGCTTTTTTTTGCTCCAAAGGCTTGTTACTCATGCTTAAATGAATGTAAATCAATACATTACCAATTTGCTTCTCTCCTTGGCTGATATGCCCTTTTGAAATGTTTTTTTTTTTCTTGGCACATCAACTATCCCAAATTATGATAGTAAAGTCTCTGGAATATCAAAAGGGATTTATATAGGAAACAATCCAAAGAACTAAGCACAGGCTTTGGTCACAATGTTTTCGTATGTATCTTTATAGATTAAACATTTGCCCTGGGATACAGTATGTGTAAACAAGAAAACATAAGCAGCTTTCTTTCATGATAGGGAAACAGAACCAAGCAAATTTATAATAATTTACAGTTTGTTTCTGGAAATGTAATAGAAGCTATTCACCCATAGAAAATCCATGTTGCTTACCTTGTTGGTACCACTGTGTTATTTATTTTGATTAAAAGTCCATTATCTTTTCTGAACACACACACAATGAACTTCAGAAACTCCTTGCTCCTGAGTACAAAGCTGACACTAAGAGCATTTCTGGGATGTTTGGAGTGGCCAGATTCCCTTTTCTTTTAGCATACAAAGCGTTCCTTAGCAACCTTGTACAACACTAGCTCCCTCCCTCTCCTAGTAAGTGGCTGAAATAAAGAACTTGCTTGGTTATGCTTAGGGAAGATCTCTCAGTAAAGAAAGACCCAAAAAAATCTAGCTGTTGACCACTTAAAACCACTTTAGGAGTTGGGAGATGGTTGTATTTTACATGGGTGCACAGACACGTGTGTTCTAATGCAACTCCCATTCAACATTTGAGATTGCTTTTTAATATCGTTGTCATTGCTAAGTGCTGTTGATTTTGACTAATGGTGACCACATGATTGAGAGACCTCCAAATCATCCTATCACCAACTGCCCTGTTCAGGTTTTGGAAACTCAGGCATGGCTTCCTTGATTGAATTTATTCCTCTGAAATGTGGTCATCCTCTTTTCCTACTGCCTTCTGTTTTACATATTATTTTTTTCCTAGTGAATCATGTCTTCTCATGAAATGCCCAAATCTTAGTTCAGTTATATGGACTTGTAGGGAGAGTTCAAACTTGATTTGCTCAAGTATCCACTTATTTCCCTTTTAGGAGGCCCATGGTATAACCATAGACCTCTTCTCCAGCCTCAGATATCAAATGAGTTGATACTTTTCCTGTCAGTTTCACTATCCAGCTTTCAGAATCATACATAGAAATTGGAAACATGACACAAACAACCCTAGTGTTCAATGATGTATCTTGCCATTTCAGAATCTTGTCTAATTCTTTCATAGTTGCCTTCCAAGTGCTAGTCTTCTTCTGATTTCTTGACTCTAGTCTCCACTCTGATTAATGATTGAGAGATCTCAGCGTGCAAGTTAAACAGAAAAATTGATAAGAGGCAGTCCTATCTGGCCTTCTTGCCAATTGGGAACCATTCCAATTCTCTGTATTTTGTTCTAACAGTAGCCTCCTGCACACCAGAACAATAAATTGTTGTGGCATATTTATTCCTTTAAGAAAGATCCATAGTTTTTCATGGTCTATACAGCCAAAGGCTTTGCTATAATCTATAAAGCACAGATTGATTTTCTTTTGAAATTCTTTGGTGCTTGTTAATGTGCAGTTCCACAAACCTGGCAGGGCTACAAGTCATTAGGAGCTCTGGTGTGATATAAGACACAGAGTTGAAGGAGACTCTGTACTGTGCTAGTTTATTTGCAGAAAAGGCTTACTATTATAGCATATTGTGGCAAATCTTTACAAGGCCCTCTCTCCATGAATAATTCTTAGAAGCATCAACATGGCCAGAGAAGTTCAGAGCCTTGCTCTAATAGGTGTCTTTGCCCAGTTTTTACCCATCTGCTCTCATCTGCCCCCATTCAGCTGGGACTGCTCAGACAAGAATACTCTCTCTTCCTTGCATTACATAATCACCTCTTCTTTGACTGAAGTTTGGCTACGCACTGACATGGGAATAAGCTGCGTTGAGCACAGGAAGGCTTACCTCTGAGTAACTGTGAGCTGCAGAAGTGCAATCCAATGCTGGCTTTAAAATCAAAAGGATTTACTTTTGACGAAGCATGCATACAATAAGCCTGCACAGAGAAGTGCAAAAACGGAGCTCATACAATGGAAGGAAATGCTTAAAATATGCCCTTTAGGAGTCTGAACAAGATGCAAACACCTAGCTTTCTCTGATGGTAAAACAGAATGTTTTGATCTTATCCTGCACAATATATCAAATACCCCCAAATTAAACTAAAGAAATAAAATCACAGGGTTCCTTCATCAGAGTACCTATGGCTAAAATCCCCCTTTAAAGGCTAATCCTTTTTTTCCCCTAAAGTCTGGCGTTGTGATCAATTTTTGTCCTGCTGTGGAATGTATTCTAAGCCTTTGTAAATGTTCACCAAACAAAAATGCAAGTCAAATCTTTTCACTGGGAACCCACTAGTTCAAGCTATAACTTCACAGAACCAAAACCCAGAACAACTAATTCCAGGAAAATACTTTTTTAAAAAAGAAAAGTTAGTCTTATCATAGACCTTTTTCTTCTGCCTGTAAAGAGAAATATATGGAACTGCCTTAAGACTGAGTGAGACTATTTGGCCAATTTATCCAGTACTTTGAAAATGATTTAATTTGGTGATTGATGCACTCTACATAAAACTGCTGGAAGATGCCATCCTATGTTTTGGAATTAAGTGTCAATGTATGCTGACAACACCAACTCTCTCTCTCCTTTAATTAAACACCAATACCATATTTCTATGTTAAACCAGTGTCCTTTAATTGTAATGGATTGGATGAGGATAAACAAATTTAAGCTTAATATAAACAAGTCAGAGATTATCCTGGTCAGTCAAAAGACAGATCAGGGAACAGGGATTCAGCCTGTGCTAGATAGCATTTGTTCTTCCTGAAATATCACTTTCAATACTCTACTGATGTGCATTAGAATTTATATCCTTTGTGGAGAGGGGGAACCTTACAAAGGCAGAAAAAAATGACCACAATAAACAGATCCACAGAAAAAAATTCTATTCAAGAGTGCTGACAATTATTGGATTATAGTATCTACAGCTTACTGGTGATGCTAATGTATAATCATTTTTATGCAAGGATTTTTGGCGACCAGAAAATTATCTTAAGGATTCCTCCAGGGTACAAAGATTGTGAAATGCTGTTGGGAACTTTGTTTAAATTAGCAAATAAAAGTAATGCTGTAGATGTCTGTTTAGGAATACAGATCTTGATTTATAGCCTCATCCTTTGTCATATGTGTTGATTAAAGCCACTATGCTCTCGCTTCCATAAATGCATCCAGGAGACTCAGTGCTGCCAAATACAAAATCATCTGCATAATCAAATTTCATTTTAGATTAAAATAATGTTTGCTACCAAGAGATCATTTTTTGCAAATGTAGCTGCAGTGATAAAGACAAGAAACCTGAGAGATTGTGACTATGCAGATACTGTACTACCAAGAAGTGAGACACTATCTTAAATTATGACTGCTGGTTTGGATCCTTGTTCACCTTCAGAGATTTTCAGAGTTGAGTTGTGAAAAGTCACTGTTCCATTATGTGTAAGTGCTCTGGCCGGAGGTAAAAACATCTCAGTTGGGTGGGCTGACCTCAAAGCATAGGTCAGAGACAATGCCAAATTATCTCCTTAGTTTAGGCAGCAGAAGGAAGGGGAAGAAAGTTCAGCAGTTTGGTTATAGAAGGCAAAACATGGCTTCTGGGACACATCACAAGTTTCCCAACTACCCTGTGCTCCCTCTTCCTCTCCCTCCCCACCCCTATATATATTACCCCAAAGATGTGAAATGACAAAGGTTTGTTGTTTTATAATGACCACCTTTAGGGAGAGGATGAACTTTATTAGGCCTGTGACTATTATGAAAGGATCAGCTAGCAGTCCTCGGTAGTTTATGGGGAGGGGGACAGATGTACTTTCCACAGAGGTCTGAAAGTTGCCAACGCTGTATTGGAACCTCCCTTTTACTGCAAAGACAATTGCCTATCGAATCAATAGAAAATATCCCTATTTAACTTGATGACAAAATGAAGTGAATTAAAAACCCAGGAGTAACACTGTAGTCATACAGCCACTCCCATGTAAAATAATAATCACCACTTGAACAGAATGCAGTTGTACACACCTCTATTAAGACAGTCTCAAAGTGAAACTTAACCTGTCTTCTGCCTTTAACAAAGCAAAAAAAAAAGCTTATTGTTGTTGTTTTTTTAAATTGTCAACTGCAACTTTGTTTTCCTGCATTTCAGCATGTTCGGTGGATTTTCATTGGTTTTCCAACTAGCTTCACTGTTGAAAACGTTTGTATATACCTTGAAGTTTTGAATCTGGCAAACTGCTATCTCCAACTCCTGTGTGCATGCGAGACCAATGAGCAATTGGGACAAACGGTTGTATAACCCAGTCAGCCGTAATCAATAATGCAGTACAATTTGAAACAAGCAAGTTTATAAAAGCTTCACTTACTTTCCAGAACCACTTGTACTTTAAAGTTGAAAATGGTTTTTTTTAAAAAAAAGCACGAAAGCATTGTTATACCATCATAAATAAATAGAAACAAACCCAAACAATTCTCCCCAGTGAACGATCCAATACTGTGCTGACATTTGAATAGAACATTCTTTTCTTTTCAGCCGTTATCCTTAAGACTGTTTCCTTCAGTGCCATAATTTTATCCAACAAACATTTATATTGTACATGCCTTGGAGAATATTCTACTATTTTGTTTTAATTAAAATGTAAAATTCATTGTGGTTCTTTTTTTCCTTTTTCTATTCTAAATAGTTTCCTCAAGTATATATATATAGAAAGTAGGGCTGGGCAACCACGGAAAAATTGGTTCCTACACTTGATTCGTTTTTTGCGTTTCGATATTTAAAAGAATTCCGAAATTTTTCTTTAAAAAAGTTCGATATTTACGAAATTTCGTAAAATTACGAAACAATACGAAACGAATCGATTCGTTAATGGCGGACGCGACCGCGCAATACGCTAAAAAACCTCCATATGGGACAGGGGGAACTTTTGAAGCTTCCCTCTCCCTCTGTTGTTGACTGTTGGTGTGATATTTATAATTTTTTTTCACTGATTAAACAAACAACAGCTATAAAACTTGCCCCAGACATGCGGAAATAATAACGGAACGATTTCGAAACAAATACGAAACGAATATGAAGCAATTACGAAACGAATTGAAAAATTCGTTTCGTTTTTTAGATGGTCCTGAATGGTTCAATGTCGCTTCGTTATAAATAAAAAAACGAATTTTTAACGAATTACGAAATTACGAAACGAAACCGCCCAGCCCTAATATAGAGGGAAAAATAAACTTGGTTTCCACCATGATACTGGATGATGCACTTGTTACCGGGATCCTGCAGAGACATATAAAAACAACATATCCACAGCCTTAATTCAACTGTTAACCCAGGTAAAGTAAATCTATTTGTTTCAACAGAAGTAATGCAAGTGTTAAGTTACTTAGTTCACACTGAGCCAATGGCTATATTTTAGCTGGAGGCAACAGCTGGTTTTAGGACATATTTAGGACATATTTCAGCAGGGGGCAGGTTAAGGTATTCTCTCAGACACCAACTGGATAACATTTTAATTTTCTTTGGAAAAACCTTTTAGGACATTTTTCAGATGCTATTGTCTTAGTAATGGGCTCCCTGGTGGGACAGCAGCTTAAACCACTGAGCTGTTCAACTTGCTGACTGAAAGGTTGGCTGTTTGAATCCAGGGAGCAAGGTGAGCTCCCGCTGTTAGTCCCAGCTTCTGCCAACCTAGCAGTTCGAAAACATGAAAATGTGAGAAGATCAATTAAGTACAGCTTCTGCGAGAAGGTAAAGGTGCTCCATGCAGTCATGCTGGCCACATAACCTTTAAGGTGTCTATGGACAATGCTGGCTCTTCGGCTTAGAAATGGAGATGATCACCACCCTGAAGTCTCGGACACAACTAGATTTCATGTCAGGGAAATCTTTACCTTACCATCTTAGTGGGACATAGTCTCTAAACACCTGTAGTGGCAAAAAAAAATCACATCCCCACTTCCTTTCAAGACCAAAAAGATGTCAAGGTATCAGATTACACATATAATTTAACAGATGTAAACTATTTATTGAATTTTTGCCACCAATATTGTTAAATACATAATCTTGCAGTTTTTCGCTTTCAAGTTAAAATGTCAGAAACAGAACACCAAATATTTACAATTCTTATAAGGAATGTTACATAATGACACATTAAGGCGTAAATTCTTTTGGCTTATAATTCTGAAAAGAATGATAATAGCAAAAAAGTGATGCAAAATCTTCATTGTGAGATTATGATTAAGCTACAATGTTTTTACAAAAATATGGTGTAAGATGGCAATAAATCCCATTCAAAATCCTGCATTAGGTCCCTTCAGCTGGGACTGATAATTTATACAGTCAAAGTTTACATATAAAGGTATCCTATCCACCATTGAAAAGTACAGCTCTCAACATATACAGTTTTTTGTTTTGTTTTTCAGGCCACAGTTTTGAAGGTCTGCAGTATCAAGTTGGTTTGATGAATTAGTCGGTTGGCACTTATGAACACGTTTATTGCCCTGTTGGAAGAAACAAAGAAATTTTAACACCACACTCAAGGGCAGGAAGCCACTAGACAGCATCTGGTAGCAGTCCAATCCTACAAATGTGTATTTAGAAAAAGATCTAATAAAAATTTATAGCATTTGCTTCTGGATTATATAAGGGTTGTTTTAAGAAAAACGAAAGTCCAAGCAAGAAAGAAGACCAGGCAATTATCATAAACTCTCTGTTTAGTGGTAACAAGAAGCATGATTTGAATTGCAGACATGAGCTGGTAATACTTAGATGCCGCCTTAAGTGTTTCTACAATCAACTGGGTAAATTTTCAAAGAATACCATGTAGAATCCAATTCTATATAGACTGGAACCTCATGTAATGGGGCTTTCACTTTTTGACCCAAACCAGTGTCCCTTGCAAACCTTCAGAGTATTTTCTGAAACTGCTGATAGAAACTCTCCTGTGAGCAGAACAACTCTGCTGCATATTAAACGTAACACACAAGTAAGCACATCAGCATAGCTCTCACATGCATGTGTCTAAAAAAAGCAACTAAATCACACAGTGCAACATTACATTCATTCACTGCAGAGCACATCTTCCTTATTACCAAGCCACACAAAAAGTTATCAGATCTGAAACAATTTCACAAAGCTTTCCTTGGTGGTTTTAATTCTCACATTCAAAGCAACATATTCATTTTAAACCCTAAACAAAATAATTATACAACAGCCAGAAAACTAATAATCAACTAAGGTTGCAATCCCTATACAGACATGTGCAATGGCACAATAAAATCAACCAAATTTATGCCAGAATAAATAACTTATTGCTCTTATGGAAAATGGGTTGGATTTTTCTTTGTTTCTAAAGCTGGTCTGAAGAACAAAGGGCCCTCCAGAAGTGCTTGGGTTTTTTTTCCCCCTGCTCCAAGGGTAGTTATTTTTAAGTCATGTGGTGCAGTGGAAGTTCAAATTCTCTCTCAGATAATTTCAAATTCTGGCAAAAGAATACATTACCAGATTATAGATGGCAGGGTGGTCTTGAGGTGATGGTTGCCAGTCAGGTTCTGACAGGCTGGAGTAGCATCTACCAGAGGACTTACGTGCCCTAAAATGGGCAGATTGTGCAGGAGGTGATCCTTTAGGTAACCTGGACTCAAACCATGTAGGGCTTGAAAGATCAAAACCAACAGTTTGTACTTTGTCCAGAAACTAATTGACAGCCAGTGGAGTGACTTTAGTGTAGGTGTAATAATGCTCACTCCTGAATGTTCCTGTGACCAATCTGGCTGTCATGTTTTGAAATAATTGGATTTTCCAAACTTGGTACAGAGGTAGCCCAATGTAGAGCACACTGCAGAAGTCCAACCTTGAGGTTACCAGTGCATGCACTACCATCTTTAGGTCCCCAGATTCTCGGAAGCGGTGCGGCTGGCATATTAGCCAAAGCTGATAGTAAGCTCTCCTGACTGTCACATCTATCTGGGCCAATATTCAGAGAGACAGATTCAGCAGCACTCTCAAGCTGTGGACACAGTCTTTCGGGGGGAGTGAAACCCCATCTAGAACTGATTGGCACACCTCCATCCCTATGTTAGAACCATTAATGGCAAGCACCTCTGTCTTGTCTGGATTCAATTTCAATTAGTTTTTCCTCGTCCAGCCCATTACCTCCTCCAGGCAATCATTCGGAAGCAGACACGCTATCCTTAGCTGAGGATGAGCCGATAAAGAGCTTTTGACCATGTCAGCCATAAACACACTTAGAACTGGGTTAAGAAGAGCTATCCACATAATTGAGTGAATGTTAGAAGCCATGATGGTAGAAGATAGATAGGAGGATTCTGCATCTTTCCAGTGGAAGTGTTGACTTTTTTCCATTGAAAAAAATTCCCAGTACAACCAAATAACAAAACCTTTGACCACACAGGCCTACAAAACTGAGGATCATAATAACCTTTCAAAAACAAATGTTGCTTTAATAGGAATTTGACATTCTAAATTCAAAAATGGCCTCAGATTTGAAACATCACATCGTTTTTCACAACTTGTGTTGATGTTTCTATTTTTGAAAATATGGGTGAATGAAATTAGAAACGGAATTAGTAACATCATTTGTGAAAGAGTTGTGTGGAACAACATTTTATTGTGTTTTTCCAATTCAGACCCCACCAAAAACATTAAAAAATACATTATTTTAAAAAAGGTTTTTTCATTGCAGGCTGATGTAATGTTTCAAAAGGTTATGGTAATATATAGTGACCTACTAAGAACTCTAGGCAATTCAACTTCTCTATTTAAATTTACTTGCAAATCATACTGAAATTGTATTTGTGGTAAATGAACACCAAATTCAAATGTGGCGTTGTTTCTGTTTGTCCTATATGAAATACAGTTGATATATTGTTAGCATTAGATCTTCTTGACAGAGCATGCATTTCTTGGCTGATGAATTTCTGGACTCAAAGTTTAACAAACCAGAAGAACATCTTATTATGAACTTTAAATAAACTGTACAATGGGGAAGACTGTATTAGTATTGGTCAGTTAACTTCCAACAACTTCAACAACCATACACCATGAGCTAGGTCAAGGAACAGATGAGATATTTTTCCTCCTGACCACACAATTTCAATTCAATGACTTCCATAAACACTTTCCTTCTGTTACCTTCAGGAAAAATTTACCTAGTTCTTGTTGCATATGTCTGTTTGGTTTTTTCCGCAGATACATACTTGGGGGAACATGCACCGAGGAACTACCATATTTTATTACATATTTGTTGATTTTTATGCCTTTTTAATTGGAAAATGGGTGTATGATGCGATTAAAACAGGTTTGCCAGTTTCAGGTTGCTTTTTAAAAAAACAATAGTTAGCCTCTGAAAGATAAAGAGTAAGGAGGAGATAAAGTTCCTTTAAAAAAACTAACAAAAAACTGGCTTTCCTTCCAGAAGGGAGGAGGGGGAGCTCTGGTTTACTTTGGGTTTTTAAAAAACTGTCTGCAACCATTACGTGACAAAAGGGAAAAATCCAATTTTTGGACTGGAAAACTCAGTGTGATGATTATGTGGAGATGACTATTATATGGTGAAATACAGTATTCAGAAGAGAGTCTCATAGAAGGACTAGACTACAAGCCTACTAGTTTAAGACCCTGTTTCTTTCAATAATTAATTAGTACTTAATTTACTTATTTAGAGTTCACAAGGCTCCCAAGGTAATAGAAAATACAAATCAATCAAAACAATACAAAGTTAAAAACCCTTAAAACTAGTGTAAAACAATCTTAGAATCCATTTTTAAAATAGTTAAAACAGCTATTTGAAAAACACGTGGAACAGTACTGCCTATCAGGCGTTTAAAAGACATGGAGCCAGTCTTATTTCCTTGGGCAGGTTGTTCCAGAGTTGACATGCTGCTACAAAGAAAGCCCCGTTATGTTACCCACCAACCTAATTTCATGAGCGGTTGCAAAATGCAACAGGGCATTATCTGAAGATCTCAAATTTCCGGTAAGCTCATACTAGAAGAGACACTCTTTCAGATACCCTGATCCAAGGTGTTTAGGGCTTGATCATTCATCAAGGTAACCAAAGTTGTTTCCGTCACATAAGCAAGCCTGAACCCAGATTGGAAGTGATCCAGAAAATCTATTTCATAGAATCATAGAGTTGGAAGAGACCTCATGAGCCATCCAGTCCCACCCCCTGCCAAGAAGCAGGAAAATTGCATTCAAAGCACCTACGACAGGTGGCTATCCAGCCTCTGTTTAAAAGCCTCCAAAGAAGAAGCCTCCACCATGTAAAAAAATAATAATCCTGGAATCCCTTTAGAACCTTACTTGGGGCCTTCCACACAGAATATCAAGGAAGAAAATCCCACAATATCTGCTTTGAACTAGGGTATCTAACTCCACACTCAGATAATGTGGGAGTTTCCGCCAGGATATTCTGGGATATAGGGCTGTGTGGAAGGGCCCTTAGAAAGGAGAGATTAAAAACTGACCAACAAAGGGATCAACAATGGTCTTACAGTTGCTTTTGGAGAGTGAGCATTCATCCCATTTCTGTCTGTTCCATCTACAGTGTTGTCTTACGATGCACTTCCCCCCATCCTAAATTGAAGGCCTAACCATTCAGTTCGTTCTTTTTGGGCTCCTCTCAAATACACTTTATCTACTCCTACCTCATCCAGAGTTTTATCATTTTATCTTTGTCAATTTGGTCTGCCCATTGTGTTCGATTTCCTATTATGCTATTTTGCTTTATTATATTTTTCCACTATATGTACTTTATTGTGATGTAATTTTTTTGTTGTATTTTGCACTTTATTTTGCTGTAATGTATCTTTGGGCTTGGTCCCTGAGTCCCCTTTGGGGAGATGATGGCGGGGTATAAATAAAGAGTATTATTATTATTATTATTATTGTTGCTTCTTTTAGAGCATATGGAACATACCCTTCTTTCAAAAAAGCATTTGCAACCTTCAGCACTCAATTGGACAGTCTTCCTCTAGCAGCCTTAATTAAGAAGGATGGACATTGCAAGAACTGGACCTCATCTCTCCAAGCAATTTGTCCACATCATCATGTTGAATAAACCAAAACTCATTTATCAAAACTGGACAATACTTATCTCAGATACCTCCCCAGACTCTTTCAAGTTCAAGTCATAGTGATTTTGAGCATTTTTCTTTACAAAGTATTTAAGCCAATTTGTCACAGCACTTTTCTTGATTTAAGCCATTGGCGTGCTGGCTGATATCCAAACAGGGGATGGGCCGGAGATGTCACTGCCTTGGTCCTTTCACTACTGGTTGCTACTCCCTGGCAGATGTCAGGCGATACAATACCGGCTAAACTGTAATTTCTCCAGTGGTGTAGGGCGCAGACACCCTGTGATAATGTGGTAAGTCTCATTAAGAGCCACATCCATTATTTTAGAGTGGATTCTGCTCATGACAATAGGGTTCTTTCAAACCTAACAACCTCCAAATCACCATTCTGAGTAGCAAAAATCAGATCAAGAGAATGGCTTGCTACATGTGCAGGAGCAGATATTAACTGAAACAGGTTGCCATGAAAGCCACACAATCCTGAGCTAGCCCTGATGAAGGTACCTCAGCATGGATGTTCAAAACCTCCAAACACAATAAGTCTGGAGGAGATAAACAATACCGGAAGCAGTTGAGATAAGGAGACAGGTAGGCAGTGGGTGGATAACACACTCAAAGAATCCTCATACTGTTTCACTGCCCTTTTGTGATGTGCATACACCCAAAACTTGGAGATTGTCAGACAAAATACCTAAATAGTGGAATGGACTCACTTTTCTGGACTCACTTCTCCTTTCTGCCCACTAGATTTTGCCTACTGCTGCAACAGGAAACCTGGGTGAGCATAACTGGGTCAAGTTGACACATCTCTCTTCAATTACTCTGCATTCTACCTGTGTATATTTGTTATATACAAATATACACAGGTAAAAAGCAGATTAAAATGCAGTATTTTAATACTGTTTTATCTTGAAGTGCAAAGGGAGGCAGATTATTATTATTATTATTAGTAGTAGTAGTAGTAGTAGTAGTAGGAAGTAGTAGCAAGGTGCTGGCAGTCTTTAGGAAGAGCCTGAAAACGTAGTTGTTCCAGTGTGCCAGAATAAGGAAACTCCCAGCAATATGTCCCTATACGCACTTTATTAGTGATCTAGGATTGTCTGCACACTCTATCCCTCTCCAAAATTTCTATCCTGTTTATAAGTCACCTGGTCATGCCCAGCATTATTTTTTAAAATTTTAATTAGTACATTTGACCCTGCCATAGGTTCTTAAATGTCGTTGTGTTATTGTTAATGTTTATTGCTATTTTCTGTTTATGAGTTTTATTTATTGTTTGTATTACTGTTGCTATTGTTGTATTGTGAGCTCGGCCTCATGTAAGCTGCACCGAGTCCCTTGGGGAGATGGTAGCGAGGTACAAATAAATTATTATTATTATTATTATTATTATTATTATTATTATTATTATTATCTAAGTCAGCTAGCTTGACCAGGATTCAATCCTAAATCATAAAGCAGCAGCCATTGACCAGGTTTTAAAGCAGCAGCACTTTGTGGTCTCATGAGGTTCAACAACTACTATAATTGTTGTACAATTTAGGGATCAATGTACCTGTTTATGTACATGAACACTCTATTTAGCTTTCATGATACGTAGTCAAAATAATGCCATTCACATGAATGGCGTTACACCTCGAAAAAGTAAAATCCTGCCCTTTCCTGATTGTCTTCATTTTATTGAAAAACTAAGGTTTTGGCATAGCAACACTAAACGTATTTTAGTGTCACTGGTGCTAGGGATAAAGACAGTTTTAGGATGCATGGCTGTATCGGTGTCGTTGATGGACGATGAAAAGCAGCAGCTCCCCTGGCGGCCAGAAAAAAAAGTTAAATAGCCTTTGTCTGTTAAACGTTGTTTGTCAAACTGGCATTGAATGTTTGCCATATATGTGTTTACTGTAATCCGCCCTGAGTCCCCTGCGGGGTGAGAAGGGCGGAATATAAGAACTGTAAATAAATAAATAAATAAATTAAATGGCTGATAAGTAAAAAAGATATTGTAGCTGTAGCACTTTCGAGAGTAACGGAGAGAAAGAGGTTTGTAGGATAAAGTTTCATAAACTACGTTTACAAAAGCTTATGCTACCAACTTGTTTTTCTCAGTCTCTAAGGTCCTCTTGCATACTGGTGCCTGCATAATGTTTCTCAATCTGAAAACAGTTCACTTGAAAGTTTCAGTATTAAAAACTAAAATTCCATAGATTCCCAAGGACAGAGAAATATTTTGTTTACGCACATTCTCAAATGTCTAAGTTTCTAGAAAGCAGTCCTTCTACATAGAGACCAATATATTTTTCTACTATGCTAAAATGAAAGAAAGAAGGAGGTTAAGACACTAGTCTGTGGAAAGGATGCTACTTGCTATATAAAGTAGTTATCTAAAATAAATAGGAAGAAAGGAAAGGCAAGGAAAAACACAAAACTGTGCCAATTCCATTAAAAGTAATACTTACTTTCCATCTTTAAAATAGGTTTTCAAAGTGTCGCTGAAACTTTTGGAGTATTTTACAAACTCTTTCTTTTGGTGCTCTAGTGCCTGAAATATGTGTATATAAAAAGTCATTCAATCAAAGTTTTGCCCTTCACAGAGCATCTTATTTAACCACTAAATACAGAATAAGATGATACATTGAAAAAAAAAAAGGTATGTTATTGTTGATAGACAAGCTCACCCATTTAAGAAACGAAAAGAATTATGGTGCTTCTGTATTTCAAAAATTACATTGATGCTTAAAGTAGCTATCAAAACTTTAAAATAATCGTATACTGAAAGGCAGTAGGGAAAATGGCAATATTCTACTTCGTTTGTCTCTTCATCTTTACTGCTAGTGATAGTTGAAATGATTTACACTTCCCACCATCTAAGCATAAAAACTGAAGATCCTCTAATATTTAGTGTTAATATGTTTATATTTTTGACAAGTAAACATAGCATAATTTAATTCACATACCCTCCGGTTCTGGTATTGATATTTCTTGAAGACATTATTTACTGTGTCGAGGAGTTCTTTTATTGCACTGGCAATGTCCCTGTTTGGCAATGAAAAGATAATTGCAACATCTTTTAAAATTAGACTCATTCAATGCAGACTTTTAATCACTTCCAAAATTGTGTCTGACATGTATTTCTTAAGGATTTGCAGTCTTACAGAATGAGTTTGAGATATGGCACAGCAAGACTGAACACCAAGAACTAATTAGATTATATGGCACTTCAAAGCCCAAATTAGGTTTAATACAGTCTTCATATGTGGAAAGGTAGCATCTGCCTGATATACAAATATATACTGCAACACTTTAAGCAAAGAGAACTGACCTACCTTTTGAATCAAAATTTCTACTCAGAATATGCATTACACAACAAATGAACAGATTTTGACTCTTGGTATTTTATTCCTAATAGAGTGACCCATGATTTGCCTTAAACCATTCTGTGCCTACTGATCTTATAAATTGAGGTTGTTATCTTGCTCTGCCACAATCTTTTAGGAATTTAAATAAAACTAACCACCTGGAAGAAAATTGTCACAGCAAGTATTTCTGAAAACAGTTTGATGTCACTATTCCTTTCCCTGGAATAATGGACACAATTCATTTAGTTCTAATTTGGCATGATTTAAGGTCACAGTATGATAAAACTAACAGCACTGTGTTGGGCTAAGAGAGCTCAGAAGGCAACGATGGTGTAACAATGTCAGTTGTCCACATTGTAACAAACACCACGACATGCTCTCAATAATAATTTTCAAAATTAAAAGCACAACTTGGAAAAGGTTTATACAAGTATCTACTAGACAACTATTTAAAAAAATCTTTGGAGTAATTGAACATATTGTGTCTTCATCTGAGCAAATGAATGAGAGGATCTACAAGAAAGCTGAAGGAAACCAAGTTGAGAAATGGCCATAAAGGGTTAAGAGGGCCGTCATCTTAACCACAATACTGAATCCAAACACACACAAAAATAGGTTTATAATTCGGTAAGTGGTGAACTGCCATAAGATGTTTATGGACATTTTGCATAACCAGACCTAACGCTAGAGCAGGAAGCCTTTAAAACAGTGATACCAAGTTCCAGTTAACAACCAATTGCCTCTTGGATCATTCAAGAGTCCATGGAAGAAATAAACAGTTTTAACCAATGGACATAAAAATGGTTCCAGTCTGTAGCAACGAGGGAAAAAACTGCTGGTTCACAACATCAGACAGCCAGAAAAGGGAAGCACTCAATCAGATTATGTTGGACTGCTACTCCCACCATCCTCAAACAGAACAGTTAGTGGTAAAGAGTGCTAGGAATCACAGACAAGTAACATCTGGAGAACTTCATTTCTTCTCTTTCTGTTCTATCATTTCCTGGTTTAGTTCTCTAACTTCTCAGTGAACCCCCAAAATAAGTACATATTACAGTGCTCAAGATCTTTGGTTGCAATAGAAAAGGAAAAGGATAGTGTTAGATAATGTATCATAATTTAATTGGGAAGAATAAAGCATTATTAAAGGAGCACATTCTCTCCAAGTTACTTAATTCCCAAGGACTCTTTAAAATTAATGGAAGGTAATTCTTGACTGCATAATGAAGAGGTGGGTAATTAATGTGTGTGCAAATGTTATCATTGTGGGGTAAATGTTGTGGCAAGTTAGCAGTCCTATATATGTACCAATGTGGAGGTTTGATTCATGTCTTTTTCTTAACCCAGGTCTTTTTCTTCAAAAACGCCTATAGTTAAGTAAATGACAAGGAAGAATAAATATGCAATGCTGTTTAATTAGAAGGAAAGGAGACAACATTTCTCTGGAGAAATTTAATGGACGTGGGGCATCTGCTCCTACATGAAGAATGCATGAATAACTTGTTTTGCAGTCTTTAATGAGTTAAAGGAACACATCCTGCAATTGCTATTAGAGGATCCCATGATGAATTTAAAAGGGTAGGCTGTCACTTAACTTCTTGGGAGTCTTTGACCAATTAAGTAAAAGAAGGTCAACTGACAATAACTGACAGATTAAGCGATCAGCAGACTTTAGCTGCATCAGGTCCCAAGCTGAAAAAGTAATACACAGTTAAATCAAAAGTCCAGTCCTACTGTGACATTTGCAGCATGTCTGGATCCCAGCAGTAGAAATCAGCCAATTTGAAGAGAAACAAATTAAGAACTGTGTTTCACAGAAAAAAACATAGGAAAGCTATGAATACAGTGAAAGTTTTCCTGAGACCCAAGGTAAGAGGAGACCCACCTTTTTTTTATACTGTGCTCTTAACACCATGGTCATAAATCTACCTCACTTCTATCTATTTTTGTTGTTGTTACCTTCCCCATCTGCAACAGCCAAAGCCACCACAAGACTCATGGCTTTGTAGTCAGCCTTGTTGAAAGGTCATTCTGTGACTAGGGAGCATGAGGATCAGAGACCTGCCTGGTTATGCCCCATAAGCAGGCACAGAACAATGACATCATCTACCAAAACCCTATCAGATCTCAGAGGAAAATGCCATTAATCAACATCTGTCTACTGGGCAGAACCAGATGCTCTAATGATCCCATGGCCCTCCCTGGTCTCACCAGTAATGGAATAGCCAACTGAGTCTAGAGTAAGGAGCCATAGCTATGTTTAATAGGCAAATCTCTTACTCTTTGCTGGAAAAGACTGGGTCTCAGCCTAAGTATGCTAAGAATACTATGGCAAATAAACTCTTCTGGCAAGCTAGACACAAGGGCCATATCTTCATCTAGTTGTTTAAACTACAACCACAATACTCTGTAGGACAAAAATTGGCCACTCAATAATAAAGTGAACGTATAAATCAAGATTTTCTAAGGCATCAAATGTGCGTGTATGTACAGGCCTTATGACAACTCCATGAAAGGAGAAATGGCAATTACCGAAATACTGCAAGTAGAGCAAATAAATGGCAAGCAGAAATATATGACAAGGTTACAATGTTTTACTTTAATTAGGAAAATGAATTATAAACTGGCACTTACTTGATTGTCTGAAGAAATCTCACTCTATCATTTATCTCATCTGGAATCTTACTAAGAATCTGTTTAAGTGCGCGTGCCTTTTCATTTAAGTCTTGAAATTCTGGTTCTGGCCTCTCAATCATATACTCTGAAGGGAGAGAATACATTAATTGGTTAGATTTCTTTGGCCCCAAATACTCTTTACACACATGGGATACTTACACCACAGTTTTGCTCCATGGGCCATTTTAGTTTTTCAGATATGGAGTCTCTTGGGCATGAAATGGCACAAGCCTTCGCCATGTGGTGAAACACGCCCATCTCATTTAGAGACTGTTTAGGAACATTTGAGAGAGCTGCCCATTTTTTAAATTAGTGGGGCATACAAAATGGCCTTAGTGAGCTACATGCAGTTCACCTGCCACATCCCACCCCACCATTGACACAAGAAATTAAGAAAAAATACCCTCTACATCGTCAGCAGCCATGCGTAGAAGAGATTCTGTAAAATTTACTTCAACACTTTTTTTCTCCAAAATTTTCATGATGATGTCTTGTGTGAGACCTGGATTTTCTTTTTCAGCCTGTATTTCAAAGAAGTTTTATTTATTTAGTTCACAGGGAATTTGAAATCAGGAAAAAAAAACATATTCAAGAACAGCTACAGTATGCAAATTCAAGATTATATTTTTAAAAGCTAACTAAGCAGAAAAGGCTCATAATCAATTCTGTACTGTCTTATATTCCTCCAAAAAAGGCCCCTATTTCTTGGACTACATCAATATTTTTCATCTGTAATTTTGTTTGATCAGCTATTTCATTCATTTCTGTTTAGCATCCATTTCTATGCATCACAAACAATCTTTCTTAAAAAAACACCAAAAAAAAAAAAGTATCTCGTGCCAACTGAAATTAAAGGGACTTGTGCCAAATCCCACAAAATTTTAGAAATGCATAGAATCAATGAAATTCAATGCATCTTCAAAAATTTTACTTAAGTTTACAGTTACACCAAAATTACTTTTTCAACAACTGGCATGCAGTTTCTGATGGAAACAGGATATAATGCAGTCAACAGGGTGTCAAGCGCCTACAAATCTTCAGTTTCCCTACCTCTCATGTCATATTCTTTTACAGTATTGATTTTTGCTATTTAGAAGGGAATAATTACAATGTACTAACAACTGACTACAACAGTAAAGACTAGATATAACACTGGCAAAAACTGTCACTGCGGTTTGTTTTTAAGATGAATGTCCCCTGTTTATGCTGAATTTGATTTCCCCCAATTACAAACTGGAGAAACCTCCCACTTTTCTCATGCACTTGTGTCTCACACAGAATTATAATTCCAACATGCCAGTTAATAAGCATCCGAACCCCAAGGTAGAATCAACCAACCCTTGATCAGCAGTGGCCAGTCATTTCTCTTTCTGAGGTGCATAGCACTAGAAGCCCCAGTTCATAAAGGCTCAAGGAACTGAAATTCTTTTGCTACAGAATGAGGAGAGAAATACCAGGGGATGTCTTCAAGTGGACACCCATTTTATATTGTGAAAACTCCTGTCTCTACAAAGACAACATCTTGCAAGGCTTAACAGACTTTGGAAGGAGCAATTTCCTTAGTCCACACAAAATATTCCATCTTATCAGTCATATTCCAGAAAAGTGGCTAACTCTTCCCAAAGCATAATTCTTATTTTCCCTCCCTTCCCACTGCAGCCTCTATATTGCATGACAAGCTTCTTTCAGCAATTAAAAAGACTTTTAATGGTTGTCTGCAATGAGTGATGGGTGAAACAGCTACGTACAAAGCGGGGTATACATCCATTAGGTTTGTGAATCTTGAGAACACATTATTGGACCTCCTAGATGAACGTTCCCATTATTCAGTATAAACTATATCTTCCTAGTTGTTTGTTGCTTGGTTTGTTTTATGATGTCTTACATTTTATTGGTTTGATTGTTTTAACATAGTTGACTGTTACATATTTTTAATTGTGTTACTTTGTAACCTTTGTTTATATTGGGCTTGGTCCCCATGTAAGCCACCCCGAGTCCTTTCGGGGAGATGGAGGCAAGATATAAGAATAAAGTTATTATTATTCCTAGAGCATACTTTTCCTTTCCTGGATGGCTTAATTAGAAGTATTTCAAACTAGTATTTTGTAATCCAGAATTTCCTAGTCATTAGGCTTCTTTACAGCTTTTACCGATAGCAGATGAGACAATTCCTTAAAGGCCAGATACAACAACAGGTGCGGAGCTGCACACACATGCATGCTCAACCTTCCTTCTTGTACTCTCATACTTTCTCAGAGAAGCATTCACTTTCTTTTTTTGCATGCTGATGCTTTAAAGTAGAGATTATACTAGGGGAATGAAGCATAATCCAAAAACCAATTCAATCAGCCTACAAAAGAATATCTGTAAGTTCAAACAATTGTTTCATATGCTCAAAACTGCATAATTTACAAGGAAAAGATAAATGGTGATGATTCACTTCACAAGTAACAGGGAATTTAGCAACAAGTGGGGTAACTTCATTACCCATCAGAATGGCAGCAAAACCGTCTCAGGTCTTGGTGAATCTTGTCAATGAGCAGGAAAAAAAAAACCTAGTGGAATATGTTCAACCTTATGTACTTAATACTGTTTCAGTGATTCATCCCCTCAATGACAGAAGCTAGAATAAACTAGATGTAAGACACGAAGCTATGATAGTACTTTCTCTCTACATGGTGAAATAATGCTGCAGTGAGAAAGGGAAAGGACATTGGTGACTGAGGGCAACAAACAATATAAAACAATTTAAATAATTCTCACCTTAATAAAAGCTGCTCTCAATGTCTGAGCTGCAGATAGATTTACTCGTTCTAGCTGCAAGGAAGAGTTTAAAAAATAAACTGTTACAAACACATATTTTGCCTTTGCCTTCTGAATCTTCATTTCCAGTATTGTCTACCAATTTAGATAAGCAATGAGTCCTTCCCTATCAGGTAGAAATTAAAGTGCAATACATATAATCCCTTTGAAACAGAAAGTAAATAATCATATAATTCTCCACTCAATATCCACATGGTAAAATGATTTTGTGAATTCGTTCATGGCATTAGTAGTATTGCTCATGCCATTCTGATAAATTCAACATATAATTTTTAAAGAAACATGCTGCTGACTACAGTTAATCCTCTGACTAATATATTGCTAGGAAAAAATAGCTGTGCAACAAACTAGATTTAGGTCAGAGAAACTACTAAAGACACAGGTCTACATCAGTGATGTCCGACTTTTGGTCCTCCAGGTTTCTGGGACTCCAACTCCCAGAAATCCTGGTCAGCTTGCCCATTGCTCATAAAATTTGGGAGCTGAAGTCCAAAACACTGGGAGGACCAAAGGTTGAACATTACTCGTCTAGATATATCAACCAGTCCTAACTCAAGTGGGTCATTAAATTAGCTGCTGATTGGTAGGTTAACACAAATCAAATGTCAATCCAACTGATATAATGTGATTCCCTGGGCTGCACTAGCAACAGGTTTCCTGACAGATTAGTGTGTGTAAGAAATGTAGGATAAAATCCTAATTTATTTTACACTAGCTTTGGTACCTGACAATGCCCGGGTTACATCTTTTGCAAATATAAACATTAAAAGTATTCATTGTTGGGCTTTGGATTTAAAGAATGGGACCACAATCATCTGCTGTTGTTCCAAGCACACCAATTTCAAACCTGGGCATGTTGGGTATGTGAGCCAACTTTTGGTCCAGATCCATTGTTGGTTGGGTTCACAGTGCTCCATGGATGAAGCACTCTACAACTCCCTAAACTCAAGATCAATTCCCCCCAAACCCCACCAGTATTCAAAGATGGCCATGTTGGGTCTGTGTGCCAAGTGCATTCCAGATCCATCACTGTTTGGTTCATTGTGCTCTCTGGGTGTAGGTATCTGGATGTAGGTAAACTACAACTCCCAAAAAATCAGGGTCAATTTCCCCCAAACCCCACCAGTATTTAAAGTTGGGCATGTTGTGTATGTGTGCCAAGTTTGGTCCAGATTCATCATCGTTTGGGCTTTCAGTGCTCTCTGGATGTAGGTGAATTACAACTCTCAACTTCTAAGGTCTATCCTCTCCAGACCCCACCAGTATTCAAAGTTGAGCTTATCGGGTACACATGTCAAGTTGGTCCAGAAAACTTGTTCCTATACCACATCATTAACTCCATTCGAGCATGGAATTATGGCAACTTATCTTCACATTTTGATTAATCTCACCCAGAGGAGAGCTTTGGTTACTGCAAGATATAAATTGTTGGTACTAGCTCTTTTGGGTGGGAGATATAAAAACGTGGAACATTCTAAAAGGGATTGTTCTTGTGACTTGGTTTTTGTTGAAATACTTCGCCATTCTTTGTCTGAATACCCTATATGGATGAAATGCAATAATTCAATGTTTTTCAAAGTGTTCTCAATGTCAAGGGTGTTATAAATTTTCATATCTTCTGAACAAATCTGATGCATTCTTTTGTGAGATTGTTGCTGATTTTATTCTTGAGATTAATTACTATTAATTATGCTTTCTTTTTTATCTGTGACTTCCTCTTGTTATACATGCCTGTGTTGTGATTTTGTTGTTGTATGCCAATAAAGCCTGGGGGGGGGGGGAGGTGTCCAGATCTATCGTTGGTTGGATTGAGAATTCTCTCTGGGTGAAGTATAAGTCCCAGATTTTAGGGTCAATGCCCCCCCCCAACACCGAAATCCCTCCAGTATTTTCTGTTGGTCATGGGGGGGGGGAGGGGAGTCTATGTACCAAGTTTGGTCCAGGTACATCATTGATGGAAATCACAGTGCTTTCTGGAAGTAGGAACTGTCTTGGAAATCCGCCACCCACAAAACGAAAAAACTTTGTCTTTTATTAAATAGGTAGGTAAATGTTATTGTGATTGAAAAGCTTGTTCTGTACTATGGTCATAAAGGTTGTTTAAATATTTTTGCCTATGGTTTCCTGGAAATGTAGCAGAGAAAAGCTATTCCTTTCATACTTCTACAAATAAAAGTTTTAGCTTCCCATTCATACACACACACATGTTCTCCAATGTTGAATGGACTTCATTTCTGCTAAATTATAATGCCTGATGAAATCTAAGGATATTCTGGGTTTTATGCTGCCACTGTCAAAATCTGGGACTATAACTAAAAATAACCACATTTACAGGATATTGTATAATGAGGGAAATATCTTGGGAGTTTACACTTCTCAAAAAGATGGCTAGAATTAAGGAATAAATTAAGACTAACAAACTGTTATGGCTATAGGTATCACTTTCTTGGAAACAGTCCTCCACACCAAGACTGTGAATAGAACTATGGAATAAAACTTAAATATAGTACTATAAATAAATTAGTATTATTTGATATTGAAAGCAATCTCTCATTTCTCAAATCCTGCACAGAAAATCAATTAGAAGGGCTATTACCTCATTAAAGACAGGATACATAACAGCATAGAGAGGCATGGAAACCATAGAAGTGGTCTCTGCTTCATTCTTCATCTCTTCCATTGTCATCCTCATTCAAAGACCCACTTGTGAAGAAAAGGCTACTGAAGCAATGGACACCACATTCAATGAAGGGCTTCTTTTTTTCCTTATTGCACCTGAATATTACCGTGCTTGATATTACCCTAAAACAGAAATAGCAGAGGGGGGAGTTAATATAGTCCTTACCAACTGAAGGGGAAAGCACTACTAAAATGTTTAGGTATTAGGTTTGGCACTGTCCCTATTCACTCAGTCACCTTCTAATGATAAAAGTTCAGACTGACTTCACTTCTGCCAACAATTTTTATGTAATTAAACAGTTCTTGGGGATTCATCACAATTCTGTTGAGCTTCTTTGTTGGAAAGAAATGAGAAACGATGTCATTAAAATGCTAAAAGGTCAATACTATTTTTATAATTTATATAGTGAGCGTTCACCAATGGTAAAGAACTTAGTCATGCACTTACAATGCCATGCTTGGAAAGTGAAGCAAGACATTTCAAATGGCAAGTAATAAGTATAGTTCCATGTCATTATAAATGCAAATTAATACTTATTTCTACATAGCAAATCTATTTTAACACATTTGAGTTGGAATAAATTATGAAAAAGGAATTGAAATGTATACTTCAGGCTTCATTGGAACAGTTTTGAAGCTCTGTTTCCATACAGGGTGTGCCGGAAGCTATGAGCTCAATGGAAAATAGCATTTCAAGTTAATGAATCTGGCCTGAGGTGTGCTCCACCCTATCCAGCCCTTTAAACTTGGCGAAGTGATCTGAACTATGGACCAGAATTTCAAGTACTGGTAAGGAAATAATCCAGTCACCAAATGAACAACGTAAATGAAAAACTGTGCTAAGCAAGTGCTTAAAAGCAGATATCAGCACCTAAGCATTTACTATGCAAATACTTAAAAACTTAAAGTCTGTTCTCCTTTAACACTTTCAAGGATGACATTGTTTTTTTTAAAAAAGAAAAGCTTAGTAAGTATAATTCTTGTTAACATGGTGACTAATGTGCTCTGGTCAACCAGTATTTAACCAGTGGATTAAATCAAATAGATTATATTGAAATGTTTGTCTTTGCCTTTTTTAAAAAAACAAAGACAAAGTAAGAGAGAAATAAAAAGAAGTGATATAAAGGACAAAGTAAAGAAATATAGACTGTGGAAGGTGACAGGGTTAGAAAAACGATAGAATCATAGAATCATAGAATCAAAGAGTTGGAAGAGACCTCATGGGCCATCCAGTCCAAGCCCCTGCCAAGAAGCAGGAATATTGCATTCAAATCACCCCTGACAGATGGCCATCCAGCCTCTGTTTAAAAGCTTCCAAAGAAGGAGCCTCCACCACACTCTAGGGCAGAGAGTTCCACTGCTGAACGGCTCTCACAGTCAGGAAGTTCTTCCTAATGTTCAGATGGAATCTCCTCTCTTGTAGTTTGAAGCCATTGTTCCGCGTCCTAGTCTCCAAGGAAGCAGAAAACAAGCTTGCTCCCTCCTCCCTTTGGCTTCCTCTCACATATTTATACATGGCTATCATATCTCCTCTCAGCCTTCTCTTCTTCAGGCTAAACATGCCAGCTCCTTAAGCCGCTCCTCATAGGGCTTGTTCTCCAGACCCTTGATCATTTTAGTCGCCCTCCTCTGGACACATTCCAGCTTGTCAATATCTCTCTTGAATTGTGGTGCCCAGAATTGGACACAATATTCCAGATGTGGTCTAACCAAAGCAGAATAGAAGGGTAGCATTACTTCCTTAGATCTAGACACTATGCTCCTATTGATGCAGGCCAAAATCCCATTGGCTTTTTTTGCCGCCACATCACATTGTTGGCTCATGTTTAACTTGTTGTCCACGAGGACTCCAAGATCTTTTTCACACGTACTGCTCTCGAGCCAGGCGTCCCCCATTCTGTATCTTTGCATTTCATTTTTTCTGCCAAAGTGGAGTATCTTGCATTTGTCACTGTTGAACTTCATTTTGTTAGTTTTGGCCCATCTCTCTAATCTGTCCAGATCGTTTTGAATTCTGCTCCTGTCCTCTGGACTATTGGCTATCCCTCCCAATTTGGTGTCGTCTGCAAACTTGATGATCATGCCTTCTAGCCCTTCATCTAAGTCATTAATAAAGATGTTGAACAGGACCGGGCCCAGGACGGAACCCTGCGGCACTCCACTTGACACTTCTTTCCAGCATGAAGAGGAAGCATTGGTGAGCACTCTCTGTGTTCGTCCACCTAACCAATTACAGATCCACCTCACCGTAGTTTTGCCTAGCCCACATTGGACTAGTTTCCTGCCAGAAGGTCATGGGGGACCTTGTCGAAGGCCTTACTGAAATCCAGGTACGCTACATCCACGGCATTCCCCGCATCTACCCAGCTTGTAGCTCTATCGAAGAAAGAGATCAGATGAGTCTGGCATGACTTGTTTTTGATAAATCCATGTTGACTATTAGCGATGACTGCATTTGTTTCTAAGTGTTTGCAGACCGCTTCCTTAACAATCTTTTCCAGAATCTTGCCCGGTATCGACGTGAGGCTGACCGGACGGTAGTTGTTTGGGTCATCCTTTTTTCCCTTCTTGAAGATTGGGACCACATTGGCCCTCCTCCAATCTGCTGGAACTTCTCCCGTTCTCCAAAGAACTCTCAAAGATGGTTGCCAATGGTTCCGAAATGACTTCCGCTAGTTCCTTCAATACTCTGGGGTGTAGTTGATCTGGCCCTGGGGACTTGAACTCATTAAGAGCGGCCAGGTATTCCTGGACGACTTCTTTCCCAATTTGGGGTTGGATGTCCTCCAATCCCTCATCCACTCCATCTTGCTGAGGTTGAAGACTCTCTTTTTGTGAGAAGACCGAGGCAAAGAAGGCATTAAGTAGTTCTGCCTTTTCCCTATCCCCTGTCAGCATTGCCCCATCTTCTCCTCGAAGAGGTCCTATCGCCTCCTTGTTTTTCCTTTTTCTTACTGACCTAAACAAAATAACCCCTTTTTATTGTTTTTAAACTCTCTGGCTAGCTTGAGCTCATTTGGTGCTTTAGCCTTTTGGACCTTTTTCCTACATGTGTTGCTTGTTCGTTTGAATTCTTCCTTGGTGATTTCTCCCTTTTTCCACTTCTTGTGCATGTCTCTTTTGTGTCTTAGCACAGTTAGAAGTTCTTTGGACATCCATTCTGGCTTCTTTGCACTTGTCCTATCTTTTCTCTTTGTTGGCACGGTTTGCAATTGCGCCTTGAGTATTTCACTCTTGAGAAATTCCCATCCATCCGTAACTCCCTTGTCTTTTAGTATCTGTGCCCACGGAATGCTGCTCAGTGTTTCCTTCATTTTTTGGAAATCAGCTCTCCTAAAGTCCAAAATGCGGGTTTGACTTGTCTTAGTTTCGGCCTTCCTTTGTACCTCAAATTGCAGGAGCACATGGTCACTTGCCCCTAAGGATCCTACCACTTCGACCACATCGATCAGGTCCTCCGCATTTGTTAGGATGAGATCAAGAGTAGCCAATCCCCTTGTTGCCTCTTCTACCTTCTGGACCATGAAATTGTCTGCAAGGCAAGCGAGGAATTTGTTGGACCTTGTACTCTTGGCCGAGTTTGTTTTCCAGCAAATATCGGGATAGTTGAAATCACCCATGACTACTACATCTCTTTTCTGTGCCTGTTTGGTCAACTGTTGGCAGAAGACTTCATCAAGTTCTTCCTCCTGGCTTGGGGGTCTGTAGTAGACGCCTACAACGACATCTTTTTGAGTCCCAGTTCCCTTGATTCTTATCCAGATGATTTCAAGCTGGTTTCCCAGATTGCTGTCTTGAATCTCTTCTGCAGCATAAGAGTTTTTGACATATAAGGCTACTCCGCCTCCTCTCCCCTTTGTTCGGTTTCTGTGAAAGAGGTTATACCCCTCGATATCTACATTCCAGCGACAGGAGTCATCCCACCAGGTTTCAGTGATCCCTATGATATCATATTTGTGGTGTTGTGCTAAAAGTTGGAGTTCGTCTTGTTTATTTCCCATGCTCTGTGCATTAGTGTAAAGACATGTGAGCCCCTGGGATCTTCCCTTGAGCTGTTTAATTGGGATTATTGTGCTTTTGGTACTTGGTCCTTGTTGTGTTTGTGCAGCCCTCTGTTTAGCCTTCTGGCGATTCCCAGACATTATGGGTAAAGTAGTGTTCGCAAGGCTGTTGTCCCCCTCCCCCGGTGGACCTAGTTTAAAGTGCGTCTAATGAGGTTTGCGAGTCTGTGAGCAAAAAGGTGTTTTCCTACTTGTGTGAGATGCACCCCATCCCTTGCCAGTAGGCCATCCTCCTGGAAAAGCAGGCCATGGTCGAGGAAGCCAAAGCGTTCCTCCTGACACCATTTTCTAAGCCAGTCATTGACCTGTACTATTTTTCTGGCTCTTGTGGGTCCGTGTCTTACAACAGGGAGGAGGGATGAAAAGACCACCTGTACATTACATTCTTTTAGCTTTGCTCCTAGAGCTCGAAAATCATTTGTGATCTTTTGAAACGTATGCCTTGCAGTATCACTGGTTCCTACATGAATCAACGATAAACTGGGGCCAAAGGACAGTCCTGGGTCCAAAAAACAAACCTCCATATAAATAAAGATGCTTCCTACTTAAAATATCTCAATCAAGATTCTCCTTTTATATTTTTGTATTGTTTGCTCAATAGACAATCCTATTCTGGAACTGACTTCAGTTGCCCTACATCTATAGAAATCTCATCATACTTGAGAATTTTCACTTCAATCCACTTTAAATGCTGCCTCCTGCAGAATTCTGGGGCTTGTACTTTAGGGACACCTAGAGCTTCTCTAGATGAGCCGTTTAAAGGTGCCTCCCTAATCTACAAAGCACAGAATTCTTCAGTGACTGCCTCCTGCAGAAATCAATAATTTGCAGTTTAAGGAGGGGTTTTTAAACTGCTCATCCAGAGAAGTTCTGGGCCTCCTTAAACTACAAGCCCCAGAATTCTGCAAGAGCCAGTCACAGCATTTAAAGTAGCTTCAAGTAGAAAGTGCTCAAGTGTGATGAGGCCCCAAAACTTGACCACAACATTCATAGTTTTCATTTTCGTGGATTTGATTATTTCCGATTATACAGCTTCTGATTAACTAGCTTGACCTTCTTGGC